ATGGAGATACCTCAAAGAACTAGGGCTAGAGGTCCCATTTGACCCCGCTATTTCCCTGCTGGGTATCTTCCCAAAAGAATTAAAAGCATCATACCCCAGCGATATATGTGCACCCATGTTTATAGCAGCACAGTTTGTAATAGCTAAGGTTTGGAAACAGCCCAAGTGCCCATCAACTGGAAACTGGATAAAGAAGATGTGGTTTTTCTTATAAAATGGAGTACTACTCAGCCATAAAGAACGAGAAACTAGAGTCACTTATAGCTAAATGGATGCATATCGAGGCCATACTCTTAAGTGAAATAAATAGGACACACATGTGTAAATACCGAAAAGTTTTTCTAGTGTGAGAAACTGAAAGTGTAAATAAGGATTAAAATGAATAATTGATAATTTGAAATAGGAAGAAAAAGTCCAAAGAGGTAGGGGAAGTGGGAGGGAAAGGGGAAAGGAAAGAAGGGAAAGGAAAAATTATGAGAAAAGAAAAAAATGGAAACAAAGTCTATGTAAATAGGGAAGGGTGGAGTGGCGGAAGGGTGCACAGGTAATGGGGAAAAAATAAGAACCAAGATACATCATGTACAGGTACAAGCACCCAATGATGAATGTAAACATATTGTGCACCTAAAATGTACCAATAAAAGAATTTAAGCAAAAAACCAAAAACAAATATATATCCATGATGCTTACAGTAATAAAATTTAACTATTTCTTCCATTTTGATCTCATGGATTGCATTCAATCTATGAGTAAGACTTCTCAATCTTGGCACTATTGACATTTTGAATCGAGTTGCTCTGTGTTGGGGGGCAGGTATATGTTTCAGCATGTTTAGCAGCATCCCTGGTTTCTCCTGACTAACTACCAGAGGCACCCTCCAATTACAACCCAAACTGTCTCCTGACATTGCCAAATGTCCTCAGGGTGGCAAAATCACAAACTCAGCCTCTCCTGTCTTCCTATTGCATGCTTTAGCTTTACGGTTTTCTTAAAGATCCCATTATAGCCTTTGACATAAGATATTTTCAAGAAAATAGTTTTACTTCTTCAACTAACAAGTACAGTTTGAGAGGCTGGCCAAGAAAAACACTTTTATCAATAACCTAAAACCACAATTCACAGTAGTGACCGAAGACAAGGTTACATCTACACCAGACACTCACTGAACTGACAAGCACAAGGTAAGCAAGTTATTTTATTATTGTCTGCATTGTCATTCTAAAGAAAACCCTTGTTCTTTAAGAACATCATAAGAAAATTATTTTCTGTTAACTGTGGTGGAAAATAGCTTTCATTGTCATGTCATAAGGACCATTGAAAATTCACTCTACATAAAAGACTTGAAAAACACTATAAACCAACTACATCTACCGTACATCTATAAAATACCCCCACCTAACAAGAACAGAACACATAGTTATGTCAAGTGCACATGAAATAGATGGTCCAGGACAGACCATATACTGAGCCACAAAAACACATCTCAATAAATTTGAAAAAACAGAAATCACTCCAAGTAGATTCTTCAACTACAATATAAGGAAATTAAAAATCAATGAGAGAAGGAAATTCACAAGTAGATGGAAATTAGCACACTCCTAAATAGACCATAGATTAAAGAAAATAATTCACAGTGGAAATTAGAAATTTTTTTACTTTCAAAACATGTTATTTCATACAAATTTTATATAATACAAAAGTGTTATAAGCTTGAGCCTGTCTCCCAAACAGAAGGCTCTTTTAGTTCTCCAGGCAAACCTTCTTTCAGAGGCAAATAAAACTTAAAAATAAGTCATATTACATAGAATGTATATATAGGAAACTTTCTTCTACAAGAAAAAATATATTTGCACATTTAGCAATCCAGTTGAGATCAGCAAATTTAGTTCATTATCAGGGAGCCCAATAGATATTCAACAGATATTTTAGCTCTAAAGACCAAACTCCTTTTTTGGATGAATATACTCCATTTGTAAATTCAAGTTTTCTTGCCTCTTTTTAGTCCTTTTGCTCAATATTTTGAACACTTTCGTTCTTTTCCTTTTTGTAGAAACTTAGAGCTTCCTCTCTCAAACAAATTCTTGATTCTTAGCAGCCTACTCAGCTTGTATCTGTTCATATTCTTCTTGTGGTAGACTACATAAAATGGATAAATGAACAAATTCTAAAAAGACATAAACTATCAAAATTGACTCTTGAAGCAATAGAAAATAGTAATAGACTTATATTAAGTAAAGAGACTGAAATAGTAATCATAGAAACTTCCTACAAAGAAACTCACAAGCTAAGAAGCTTTCCAAAAGTTTAAAGAAAAGCCAAGCCAAATTCTTTCAAAACATTAACACTTTACATTCATTCTATGAGATCCTGGTACTAAAACCAGACAAAGACATCACAAGAAAAAGAACACTATGAAACAATATCCTAAATGAATATAAAAGCAAATATCCTGACAAAATATTAGCAAACTAAATCCAGCAATATACAAAAAGGACTACACACCATGGAAGGCAGCTATGCTCACCACTATACCACCAACACAGGACTATACACCATGACCAAGTGCAGTCTATCCCAGCAATGCAAGCTTAGGTTAACATATGAAAATCAAGTTGACACATTTTATTAATAGAATGGACAAAAAACACATGATCATCCATCTTCACAGATGAAGATAAAACATTCAACAGTGTAACACTTGTCCATAATAAAAACACCAAACAAACTAGGAATAGAAAAAAATTTCCTCAAGCTAGTGAAGGGCATTTATGAAAAGCTGTCAAATCATACTTAACAGTAAAAGACTAAACAGATTTTCCTTAAGTTAAGACACAATACGAGGGTGTCTGCTCCCACCACTCCTAGTCAACCTTATACTGGAGGTTTTAGACAGAGCAGTTAAGCAAGGAAAATACATAAAAGGCATCCATATTAGAAAGAAAAATATAAAACTGTGTTGATTAGAAGATAATATAATGTTATATAAAGAAAATCATAATGAATACACAGCAAATTAACTACTGTGTTAGAGCCAATAAATGAGTTCAGTAAGGTAAAGGATATGAGATCAATATCCAAAGGTCAGTTAGTTGTATTTCTATATGCTAGGAATGAACAACGCAAAAGTAAACTTAGGAAAACAATTCCATTTGCAACGGCATCAAAAAGGATAAAATATTTAGAGATAAAATGAATAAAAGAAATATGAGACTTTCACACTGAAAACTACAGACCATCACTGGAATAACTTAAAGAAGACAGAGGCGGTGGCAGCAGTGGTGGCAGTGGCGACAGCAGCAGGAGCAGTAGCAGGGGCAGTTGTGAGGGGGTTCTAGGAAGATGGTGGTGATTAAAGAATTCCGTGTGGTTTTGCCACGTTCTGTTCCGGAGTATCAGGTTGGACAGCTTTACTCTGTCACAGAGGCTAGTAAGAATGAGACTGGCGGTGGTAAAGGAATTGAAGTCTTAAAGAAAGAAACTTATGAGAAGGATGGAGAAAAGGGCCAATTTACACACAAAATTTATCACCTAAAGAGCAAAGTTCCTACATTCGTGAGGATGATCGCTACCAAAGGCTCCTTGGTATTTCATGAGAAAGCCTGGAATTCATATCCCTACTGTAGGGCAATTGTAATGAATGAATATATGAAAGATGACTTCTTCATTAAAATTGAAACATACCACAAGCCAGACTTGGGAACACTAGAAAATGTTCAGGATTTGGATCCAAACACATGGAAAACTGTTGAAGTTGTCCATGTAGATATTGGAGGTCAAAGTCAAGTTGAACCTGGAGACTACAGAGCTAATGAAGACCCAGCATTATTCCAGTCAGTCAAGACCAAGAGAGGCCCTTGGGGACCCAACTGGAAGAAGGAGCTGGCCAACAACCCTGACTGTCCTCAAATGTGTGCCTATAAGCTGGTGACCATCAAATTCAAGTGGTGGGGGCTGCAAAACAAAGTAGAAAACTTCATCCAGAAGCAAGAAAAAAGGATATTTACAAACTTCCATCACCAGCTTTTTTGTTGGACTGACAAGTAGACTGATCTGACAATAGAAGGCATTAGGAGAATGGAAGATGAGACTCAGAAAGAACTAGAAACAATGCATAAGAAGGGTTTTCCGTCTGAGGCACTTCGGCTGCTGATGCCTAGATGAGTCCCCTGTAGGGTCAGAGACAATATCAAACTGTTTACGTAATCAAGGTCAAGTCAGGGGAACAAGTACAGCTAGTGACGAGTGAAGAGGAATCTGACCAGTATCTTGCAGTGTTGATGTTTCCAGTGTGTGCTTGCGATGATGCACACATGCACAGGTTCCCAGCTGTGTGTCTGTGTGTCTGTGTGTGTGTATGTGTGTTTGTAGCTGTATGTAGAAGGCATGTAGAGCTACAGATACCGATACACACACGTGTGTATATATGTACATACAAACATACTGAAGGGATTAGTACAATTTCTCCAAAGTACTGTACCTATCTTGGGCAAGAATGCAAAAGAAAATATTTTCAATATCTATACCTGGAACAGATTTTAATAATTATCAGAGTAATACCATTATTGGACAAATTGAGTGCATTGTCATACTAGCTGGTATGTTTCATAAATGTCAAGTTGTGGACCAATATTAAAGAAAAGAAGTTAAAGAAGATCTAAATAGATGGAGAGAGAGAGACCACCTTCATGGATTGGGAAAGCTTAATATTGTTAAGATGACACGATCCATATCAAAATCTCAGAGGGCTGGGGTTTAGCTCAGTGGTGCTGCACCTGCCTGGCAAGTGCAAGGTCCTGAGTTCGTTCCTGAGCACAAAAAAAAACTTTAAAAAAAGGAGGGGCTGGGGATTCAGCTCAGTGGTGCTATCCGTGCCTGCTTTGCAAGCCGAAGGTCCTGAGTTCGATCTCTGGTACCAGGAAAAAAAAAAAAGAATTCTCTTTCCATAACTTACTTTTTCATATAAATTGCTCATTTTTCTATTTTCCTCCTCCTTTTTATTGATTTGCATATTTTTCTTGTATATTGTAGATATTAGTTCATCTAGTTTTTGAGTCACAAAAATCTCCCATTAAGCCACTCACGTACTAGTTTTATATATGAAGCTTTTGTTCCGAAAGTCTTTAGTGTTCATGTAAACAACTAATTTGCTTGCCAATTAGACAACAATTAATTTTATAAATAATTGGGAAAAATCCATTTATTATTGGAAAATCATGTGGAAAGAGCTTGAAGTTGAGATATTTCAAAGTGAACCAGTTCAATCCATGTTTCCTTAAGCTAATTGTGAGCTAACTTTAGGGTTTTTGTGAAATCGAATACTTTATGTGCTCTAATTACGCACTGAACAGTCCCCAGCATTTTATTGTTGCTTTGGGATTTAGTTTCACTCTTGTTTATATAAGATAATTACTTTTTTCAGTCACTAATTAAACTTACTGACATATTTTATCAATGTGTCTGTTCATTGTTATTTCTCTTCTCCATGGCATACATAGTTTAATACAAGAGGTAACCAAAAGATACAATAAATGTTTTTTCTTAAATGTTTATTTTTATTAGTCTGTGTTTGCAGTACATAATGATTACCTTCATCATGGGGAGTTGATCCATGTACAGAACACATTTGAATTGATTTTATGCCTCCTTCTCCTTGCTTCCCTCCCCACTCCTCCATCTCTTGGTCCCCTTCCATTTGCAAAAGAGCGATCTCCCTGTTTCTTATTGTCTATCTTTGATTTTGCTCTTTTATTTATACTTGAATGTTTAAACTTTAAAAAACCTTATTAGAATCTGATTTTTTGATTGGACTGTTTTGAGAACCTTGAATTTCTATTTCTGAATTCTTATCTTCACTTTCTTTAATAACGCCAGAGGAATTTTCTTTTGATTTCTCTTGAATGGACATCACTCCTCAAAAATGTCTTCCTGTTCTGAGTAGTTTTTAAGAGGACTTCTGTGTCCTGCTGTGTGCAAATGCTGAGTATCCAGTATAATTACTGAGGAACAGGTCTTAAAAATAAACTTTAACTGATGCTGACATACATTTTCAGCAAAAACACTAGTTTGCTTCAAATAAGGTTTCTGTCATAACTAGAACATGAAAAAAGCAGGCATGAATACTGAAAGATAGTTGCTTTTCTTAGTAAGGCAACAGAAATTTGAAGAAAATTTAATTCTAATTTGATATTTTTACAAGTTTTTTATGAAAAACTTAATTCACATTCAATCTGTTTTGCTAACTTTTAATTAATGTTAGTTTCAGGCCTAGCCCTATTGCTGGAGGAGTTAATTATCACTGACCTGACTATTTTGACAAAATTGTTAAAAACTTTTTTCTTCTGAAGTCTACAGTTATTGGGTTTTGACTCATTTGAAACATATCTTATGGCTAATATGTTTCCTTCCTTGCTTGTTGAGTCTCTTTGTTTGCAGTTCTTGTTTAATTTCCTTTGTTTAATAAAATATTCTATTTATACAGGTTTCCTTTTGTTCTGCCATTTAATTCTTTTCCCACAAGACAGAATTGATGTTTCAGCCACCACAACTCATGAAAATCTGATAAAACCATTCCTTACAACCTGCCTTTAACACATAAACAGTACCTGCTCGGTGCAAAGGCCATGTGTCCAATCCCCAGTACCACAAAAGAAATAAAAATTTTAAATATATATATAATTTCATTGCCCTTATTGAGATGGAAATCTTGTATCACTTTTTAAATTGACTGATGATGCACCTACTGAAGGATTCTTCTAATTACTTCCTGTATATTTGGGAATCTCTGCTCAGCCTGCCGTGGGTCCCACTGCACCCGGCAGCTGTCTCACATCCGGGTCTCGCCAGTGCTCAGCTGCTCTGTAACAAACCTTATTAGACTAAAAGACACATTACCTAGAACAATAAGTGAGTTCAAAGCAAGAGGGATTTTTTTCTTTTCTTTTTTGGTACTAGGGATTGAACTCGGGTCCTTGCACTTGAGCAGCAGGTGGTGAAACCACTGAGCTAAATCCCTGGCCAAGAGGGATATTTTTAATATTTTAGGGGGATTAATAGCAATGTGTCCTTTATTGAAATAAATTTTTAAAAAATTTTTATAATAAATTTTTAATTTAAACATTCACCATATTTTATGATCACGCCACGTTAATCAAATGTTTACAACAATTTCTGTCAAATTAAAACATCATGGGGGCCGGGGATTTAACTCAGTGGTTCTGCCACCTGCCTTGCAAGTGCAAGGTCCTGAGTTTGATCCCCAGTGCCAACAAAACAAAACAAAACAAAACAAAACAAAACAAAACATCATGGTGTATCCTCATCCACCCTATTCACCAGATCTGGCACTATGCAACTTCTGGCTCTTCCCTAAAATCAAAACAACCACAAAAGCTTAGTGTTTTGAATCAGTTCTGGACATGGAGGCAGTCACAACAGCATAACTAAAGAGGGCTTCCAGAACTGCCTCAGAAAGTGGCAAGAACAAAGACACGAGTGTGTCCAAAGCAAGGGAGATTAAAGGCAATGTGTCTTTTACTGAAACAGATCTTTTAAAATTGAAACATTCACTGTATTTTTTATCACACCTGGTATTTCTTTCAACAAGGCTCTGTGAGTCATGTATTCAGCCTTTGTAAATTGGAAAATACTTGTATTTTCCCTCACTTTTGTATTAGAATTTATATGCACATGAATTGCTAGCTTAAATGTTACTCCATTGTCTTCCTGCAGCCATTGTTAATGAAAAGGCTCCTCTCTTTCTAATTGTTCCTTTAGAACTGTCTTTAATTTAGTAGCTTTTCAGGCATTTTCTCTTTATCCTTGCTGTTCTTCATTTCCTCTGCACTATGTCTAAAGATGGGTATAATTTCATTTATCCTGTTCAATCTCAAAGCCTGCTTTGGTCTGCAGACTCACATCTCTCATCAATTACAGAAAATTTTTATCAATATTCCCTTAAATATTGCCTCTTTAACTCCTCACCCTCATTTATCTTACAGAATTCACACTATGCCAGTGTATTTTTCAACTTAACTGTTCTTTCATATTTGGAGCCAGTGTCTGCATGCTACCTTCTGGATGAGTCCTTCAGACTGTTTCCCAGTTCACAAATTCTCTATTCAAATGTGTTTAGCATTCAGTTGGTTCTATTGAGTCTTTGGTTCTGGTTACTACAGTTTTCATTCTATTTTGCTTTCTTATCTACCCTCCTTCCTTCTTTTACAGTTCCTTGTTTTTTAATGAAAATTTATTTTTCTACCTATCATGCATACTTATGATCAAGTCTTTTTTAAATTTTTGAGAACTATTTTAACTTCATCTTGAGTAAATAATGTTTGAACAGGTGATTTTGTCAAGTGTCTTCCTTTGCACACAATTTCTTCACTATTGTTGGAAGTTTAGTTTGCAAATCATTTTGAGTGTTTTGATGGTTTCTGCTCTCCCCTGTTGCTGCTTTCCAGCAGGTTTTGTTTTTGTTTATGTTTTAGAGCTGGAATTTTACTATGTCGCCCACGCTGGCCTGGAACTCCTGTACTCAAGTGATCTTCCTGCCTCAGCCTCTGGACTAGCTGGGACTATAGGCATGAGTCACCATGCCTACTACTGACCAATAGGTGTTTAATACCTTAGCCTCGGGCCGGTGATCAAGAACAGGCGTTATTTGGGTTTCCAGGCGGAGCCTTGTGATGATATCGGGGTTTTCACAGAGCCTGGCACTAAGTCTGGACATTTTGGGTCACTTCTGATATCAAGGCTACCTGCATCCTCTCTCCCCTGAGAGGCCACCTGTGGACCAGAGCCTACAGCCACTGTTGCAGGTGACAGGAAGCAGCACATCTTTACAACTGCCTTTCTCCCTTGGCTACTCCTTCTCCTGCTTTCCCAGGCAAACAGAACAGAAGACAGCACTTGGCGCCTCTTTCTAAAAAGTGGCAGAACTTGGTGCTACCCCACCGCCCAGGTCATGTTCAGCAGGCACAATGAGGCTTCAATAAAGACAGAGCAGCAGGCAGTCTGGTCATTGCTTTCTTTGGGGTATAGATCAAGGATTC